TCTAAATGCAAAGCAAAAGCGTGAACAAAAAAGAAGCCATTCGCCTAATCGCTCTTGACACACGGAAAACGCAGCTAGAAATTCTACTTTTGGCATGTTGCAAGGGTTTCCTCCGTCCGCCACCGTGACCGCTTTCAAAAAGATATATTGAAGTGTTTGGACCCACTTACAGAAAGGTAACTATGATCGGCTCCTCTTACCCGCAGTTTAGTCAACTTAGAAGAAGAAGTAGTTATGGGTGGAAAACTATTACAAAACAATTCTGGTTTGCTTCGTCCCTGACCCAATAGAAACCATTGCAATTTCGTCAACCCCGCAGATCTAAAAGGCTGATCATAAAGATGAAGGGCATGAACTGAAGCCACCATTGCTTTCCATTCTAGCTCAAAGACAAAGCTCATGTACTATCGGTGTGAACGCCAAAAAGGAGGGTAAAGCACTAAAGTAAAGCTTGGAATGGAAGTGCTCAGTCCTCGACCAACTGACAAAAGGGCAACAATGCCGCGTACCAATCGTCGCGCGGCGCACTTGCTAGCTTAATTTGCGCCGCGCGCGATGCGAGCTTATTCGTGTGGAGGAGTTGTCTGGCTGATGCACAGAGCTACCGCATTTTTTTGAAATATTTCCTTCATTTGCTTAAACTCCTTCTTGTTCGTGGTGATACTGTAGAAAATAAATGAAGTACTTGACAGAAGTTTCGCTAACGTAAAGAGGGGACCACGCGGCAGGCTGTTCTTCCTCTCGCCGAGGCAGTTTTTGAAACAACCCATAAAAATTCCCATTTAAAATCCCAAGCAGGGATTGACCTATTTCAAATGGGAAGAAGTATCGCATAAACCAACAGGGAAGTTTTTCGAGATGCACGACTTTTGCTGCTATTCATCCGCCTTTCATAGGGTTCTATTAGAGTAACGGAAGGAATTTTAGGTTGTGCAGGGCATCCTAGGCATTTAAAGTTGTCCTTTTGCTCGAAGGAATGGGTTCAACATCCCTAAGCTCTTTCTCTCTTGGGCATAGGCATCAGGTTCCAGGATGTCCGTCTACTGTCGACCACGAACCCTTACTCCTTCCTTTTTTGCCCATCCCTCCTTCTTTTCCTCCCTTTCTTGTCTCTTCCGTCTTCCTTTTCCTTCTGCCTTTAAACCCTCCCAGCGAGAGATGCTTGGTTGACAAAAGCCCCGTAACCCAACCTGGTCCCCGCTTCCCCCCCCACCTCTCCCAGATACATACGTTAGCAGTAGCTCTACCTCCCCCAAGAGAACATTGTATAAACAAGCTATGATAGCGCTACTCTGTTATACCCTCAAAACATTCAGAACATCTACAAACATTTCCCTTTATTATTAGCGAGCGGAAAAAGTTTCTGATCCAGGTCCAGGATTAGGAGTACGCTCAGGGAGGTAGACCACTAATCCGGACCCGGACCCTCTCCTGGGTTAGGCAAAATTTCGCGATATCAAATAGTAGTTGAATGCCGCCCGTATCTAATCTTTATATGTATATAAAAATAACGAAGAGGGGCAGGAGTCTAGCAACAACTCGTAACTTTCAGAACTTTTTCTGTAAAACTGGGATCCGTAATCCGACGAACTGTTGCACGAAACGCTCCGATGTGAAGAAGTACACTCCAGTTGCTGCGGACGGTTGGACGTTCAGGCAGTATGGGAGTGTCACCCTGTCTGGGCCGTTCTATTTCTGTTGAAGCGCGCATGCGACAAAAAGTGGTAGAAAACGAGTAATACGAACGATATGATACAGTCATATCATTTGCTCGCTTTAACAACTGGTGGAGAACGGGTTTGGCACCGCGCCAAACTCATCCCGCCTGACACGCCCAACCGTCCGCAGCGAACTAGGCATTGTTCACAGTCTGCGGTCCAGCGTTCTCTGGAACGCGGCGGTTCGGCGAAAA